GCAAAAACTCATATTAATTTATTTTTTTTGTTTTTATTGTTTGTAAATCAACCACTTTTGATAAATCACAAAGCACAGCACACACGAAGGCCGCAACACAACACGGCCACAAACACCAAAACAATTTTGCGATGAAAATGTCAAATTGCAGTGCAAAAACGCAAGAGCAGCAACCGCAACCGCAATCACACTAGAACCAACTACACCCAGCCAACAGCCACTGGCCCCCTGCCAGGAACCCTTTTGAAGCGCCACCCCAGTTCGGTCAGCACGAATTTAATGCAAAATTTTCGGTTACCGAAAATCACTGCGAGGCGAACGCAATCAATCATAAAACGATGAAATGTCGACAACCGGGTGGTGCGGGGGGCTCGTCCGGGGAAAATTGAAAACTCTCTGCCAGGACATCGAGAAGGAGCAAGAACCGTGCCACATACCACCACGCCCTGGAGTAGAAAAAATCAAGGCTTAAAAAAGGAGACACCAGTAGGTGACTAGCAATGACTATAAAATACTGACTACTTGAGTTAAAAAGTAATCTGAAACTAAAGAAACTAATAAGAAAAGAATCTTAGGGATTTTCTTCATAAACCCTTCTCGTATGTGCATACAAAATTGCCATTATGTCATACAGTATAATAACTTCTGTTGGCGTCAACTACCGGGTGAAAACACGAATACCATCGGGGGGTACAATACTGCATTATTTAACTTTTATCTGAAATCGCTAATGGCTAAATAGGACGACGTTTATGATAAACTTCAAGTACCGGGTATGATTACACATCCACTAGTTCAAAGCGATTTGGTGAATTGCCTCTCGGCTGGATGGGTGATGCGTTTGTATTGCCTGGTTTGCTCTGGTTTCGTTTGGTTTTCTCTACTCTGGTCTCGGGCCCAGAATATTTTGGTTTCCTTTGGCATTGACTAAAGCGACCTCTTTCCGACCATTTATCAACGACTCTGGATCCCAATCCGAATCTGCTACTGGCCAAGCACAAAATCCCCACATTCACGGATATTGGCACAAAAAATAGTCGACTCCGGCTATGTAGCAGTTAATTAGAGATGCCAGAACACCGATTCCACTCTGTTGCGTCGGATTGGGCCCATGTCGAAGGGTTTTCCGGTTTTCATTCATAGCTTGTAGGCTCGTTGCTTTGCTGAGAGCCCAATTATCGGTAATTGAGTTTTTTAGTTTCTTAAAGAAGTTTTTTGTTAGTGTGTTTTAGCGATGCCGAATTCACTCTTTCATTTCACGATTTCAGGCCATTTCGTGAACAGGGGTTATTTCTATATCACGCTTTCAAGAGTTCGTGATTGCTATCGCATAAACATAGTCTGTGTTGAGATACGAGGGCTTGTCTACTATGTACCAGGTCTATGCATATGAAACTGCGTTTTTTTTTACAACTTTGGAAATATATTTTAAAAAAATGGGGACAATTTCAATTTTCAAAGTATGCCTCTTCAAAAGCCACACATTTTTCCCATCTTTCGGCCAATTTATGAATTCCTCGCCAGAAGAATTCCTTTTCCTTGGACCCAAACCAGTCTTCTACCCAATTCTTAAGGGTCCATAGGAATCGAAGCTCTGGTTGGCTAATCCGTGTCCCAAACTGGCAAACAAATGGTAATCTGATGGAGCCAAGTCTGGTGAATAAGCCGCATGGGGTTAGGACTCCCAGCCAAACGTGGCTACCAATTCCTTGGTGCCTCTTGCTCGGTGTGATAGCGCGTTGTCGTCCAGAAGAATGGTTTTGAGCTGCGTATTCTGGGCATTTTTGCGTATTCTGAGCGTTTTTGGAGCAGAGATTCTTTCAATTCTTCCAATTGTTGCTGGTAGCGTTCGCCATCAATGATTTTACCTGGTTTTAGGAGCTCATACCAAATGATTCCGGCCTGATCCCGGAAAACGCTCAGCATGGCTTTGCGGCCGAAACGATTTGGCCGAGATTCGGATTGGGCTGGCGTGGGCTAACATAGGATTTTTTTCATTTGGGGTTTTGAAAATAGATCCAATTTTCATTTCCTGTGACAATGCAATGCAAAAACGAGAATTTCCAAGAGAATTTCGCAAGTCATTTTTCGGTGTCCGCGAATAGTGGTTTGTGGGTATAAAACTCGACATTTTCAATATTAGAAAGAAAAATTCCTATTGGAAAAAAACTAGCAAATAACGTTTAAGCACTGGTGTCAGACACCAGATGTCAAAAGATGCTAACAAAAATGTTTACCAACAATTTTGGATCACTTTTGTCACCGATAATTAACAATGAAGTAAAACGCAGTTTCATATGCATAGACCTAGTATATAAAGTACTGGATATATGCATGGGCTTTCCCTTTTAAAATTGGTAGTCACTTATTACGAATGTATGAATGTTCGTACATACATATGTATATTTTTACTAGAAGGACTCGCTTTCCCGGCCAAAAAATAATCTATGTTCTTATAGTTTGTATGTGTGAATAATTTTAGACGAAAGTTTGGCGGCCTAAAATATTTTTATTGGAAACTCTCCCACGCAGTAAATTTTGATGCTGATACAGTCGACGATTACTGACGATTTCATTGTCTGGTCGGCATCCATATCACTGTGTGCGTCTTTTTTTTAGAGGAGTGCGAGAGAGTCTTTGGGGGCCACTTATCAAATTTGGACTTAATTACCGGTCTCACCTTTCTCAGATAACCCAGCAGCCTGGGGTCCGGCTAATGAAAGGTTTTATGCATCGCTTTAAGTCGCATGTGATTGAGCTGGATGGGTGTTTTGTAATCCAAGTCCAAGTGAAATTTATATGGCCCCAAAAATTTAACAAAAAAAGTCGGAAATCTGTAGGCTCGGCCCATAAATCAAGTTGCATTCGCCGGCAGTCGCAAGTCGCAGGTCGTAAGTGTGTCATTAAAATTAATTATCTAGCATTTTTAACACCGAACCCCTAACCCTTTTCTGCGACACGGGCAAAGGCGCTGGAGATGGAGGCTGTATGGTAGCCTCTGTATCTTGGCTTTTTAACTTGGCAATTAGCCACACGCAGTGCTTGGAGCTCTTTTTTCTAAATATTTGCTTAGCTTTTGTTGACGATTCTCCAACAGTATTCCCGCATCCTCCTGCACCGAAAAAAACAAGTAATAAAAATTTTTTTATTGGGTGTTTTAATATTTAGAAATCTTTTAGGTATAAATGCAAATTTATACCACTTACTTAGTCCCTTAGTATTTAGATTTTTAAGCGCTTTGATATTTATTTTCATATCCATGAAACTGAAATAACTTTTAGAGCTATAATGCCAGGTGCGCCTGTCTGTCTCTCTGTCTGCCTTATTTTAATTGAATATTAAAGTACCTTTAAGTCTTCAATAAATTTTATGAAATTTTATAATAATAGTACATTTTACAGATTTTTTATATTTATATAACCAATACTAGTAACTATTGAGGATTGAAGGAGGGATAAGTTGGTGTTGAGAAATCTTTACTTATTTTTGATAGGAGGTCCTTATAAAAAGTTTTAATTATAGACTTTTATATTAAATATATGAGGAATGTTTTATACTATAATATACATAGCTTTAAAATTTCTTAAACTACTGAAAATGTAATGAAACATTTTTAAAAAACAAAACTTCAAACTTTTTTTAATCTCTTTCAAGTTTGGAAGAGTAAATAACGTTCGACTCCGACCAAACCCATTTTTACAGATTTTTTAATTTTATCTATTTGGTGGCCATAGTTATTAAATACATATCTTTTATTACAACACATCAAGACAAAGCAAACAACTTCAACATAACGTTGGCACAGTTTTTTTAAGGTGCCAATTTTTTCAATAATTGCCGTCTCGTTTTTTTTTTTACAATTCCTTTAATTTATTAAGAGTATTTCTCTCAGTGCCGATATGCGACAGTCCCTAGCACTGTTCAAATATTTGCGCTGACATAACTTTGTCTGCGGCTGGCGTGCGCCACCATGGGCGGAGGCTGGCGGGCCTGGAGAGGACCATTGCATTGGCGAGAGAAAAGTCGCTTTGTCTGCTCCGAGCCCTGCCTGGAAGCAATGTGTGAAAGATAATTATAATACATGTACATATATATATGTACATGTAGGTGCGTTCGGTCCAGAATCGAATTGGTACAGAAGCCGCCCGGAATGAACTGACAGAACTGGCGCCGGCAGTACACCCTCGGCAAGTGGATGGTGCCGTGAGGAACGACTGTAGCTGGTGTCTGTCTGTCTGGCCGCAAGCTGCAGCAGCAGCTTTCGTGGTCTTTTCCATTGAAATTTTCGTTGACATTTAAACCTAAACTAAGAGATGAAAATACACATTCAAAAATATACCTTAAATCAGATATATTTATGATTTGTTAATTTTTAAAATGGCTCTTTAGAATATTGTGTCTTTACCTTTTACTCAAATACATACATTTTTGGCCGCATTGCCCTTTTTTAATTTACAATAATTATTTTTTAATTAAATCACTAATTTAAATTAAAAATTTTTAAACATATTTCTGTGTGTACATTGACCAGAGGCAAGAATAAACGCACAAGTCGCCATCGACTGTCAATGGCAAATTGTTTTCCAAATGCATAACCAGCAACGAAACCACTGGATTCGGCATTTAAAATTAACAAATAATTTAAGTCTGGCTGGTGCAAAGTGTGAAAAAATAAAGAAATCATATCGATTAAAGTTGCGATATTGAGCCCAAGAACCTAATTCCAATCAAATCGTCGTATAAATTACCATGATAAGCCCATGTCCCCCTGGGCCAGAGCCATTTGAAAACCCCCTCGGACACCAGTGACCCATTCATGGGTACTTTGCGTGCTATTTATTTCCATTTATCGCATTAGGCAATTGGCCAAATCGTCGGAGGAGATAAAGACGTTGAAAACGAGCAGATAGCAGTTAGCAGTTGCCAGCTAGCAGCCAGCCCAATATCCATCGGATGTATCTTCTTGTGCTCATAAGCGTATCTTGTGTTTATCTTTTCAGAGTGCAACTGCAACAGGCATGCCCGCCAGTGCCGCTTCAACATGGAAATCTTCCGGCTCTCCCAGGGCGTCTCCGGCGGAGTCTGTCAGAACTGTCGCCACTCGACTACGGGCCGGAACTGTCACCAGTGCAAGGAGGGATTCTACCGAGATGCCACCAAGCCCCTGACCCATCGCAAGGTCTGCAAAGGTGAGTCTGTCAAAATGTAACTTTTGTTTCTTTAAAATTTAAAGCTTTACATTTCATATCTGAAAAGTTTCTCCTAATTTTAGGTCATATGCAGTAAGTACCATAGGTATATTCAGGTTTATGGAGAAATAATGTATTTCATTTAATCTTAAAATCTATAAATTACACACACATTGCTAGTAATTATTTTCATCAACTATTTTACTCAAAAATTAATCCTTCCTTTCAAGGCTATTGCACATTTTAAATAATTAGCCGCATAATAAATACAAACATAAATCCAAACCAAACATCCAGCCCCTTAAGGGTACACCTAGTTCTTCATAGCAACCCGTTGGGTCTTCCCAAGCGACCTTAGAGTGCGTTGTGTGGAGCATAATTTATGGCCGCGATAAATTTACGCTTACCAATCAAAAAAATAAAAATAAAATGGAAAAAACGACAGAGCAAGTAGAGAATAAAAAGAAAGAAGGGGCTACCCCGAGAAGAAATTTGATTACATTTTGATGCAATTCTTCGGTGCTGCCTACTTTTTAAATTTCTTATTTGTTTAATTTTAAAACATATATCATAAATTGCCACAAGCTGGAGCTTCAATCTTAATAAAGGTTCAATATTCAAGCTTCAATATTTATGGGTTCACAATCAACAATTTATCAAAACTTAATTTCCTTTCAATATTTTATTTTTTCCATCGGCTAAGAATGTTCGAATAGGAAACATAAAAAATAATTTGCGTCATTGAAACATTAACAAAAATAAGTGTAAAAAACTAGACTTTATTGTACTTATTAATCAGCGAGACCGTGTATATCCGGCGTCCGGCGGATTTATTTAGACTAAAGTGGGTTATAAACCAAAAAAAAAACGGACCAATAGCAGAAGACGGGAAGGAGGTGGTCAAGAAAGAGGAAGCCCTCCACAAGCCCGTCCAAATTTATAGTGTGCAATCATTTTCATTGGCAAACAATCAAATCAGGTGGACCACATGGCTAAATAATGTGAGCCACTCGACTATTTATAGATCGCACTATGGGGCCAACGACCACTTTTTGTGGCCAAATCTATTGGCGTTTTAAATGTGACTTAAAAGGATTTAAATTAGAAATTTTTTATATACTTTTAAATGAATGTAGTCTTAAAGTACACTTTTGTGCGCTTTTTGAGCAATTCGCCTTTTTCTGATGCGACCTCCAGTTACAGAAAAACATTTTCTTCACTCTCCTCTGTTATCGCCCATCCAATCGGATGTTGATATACCCTAAAAAAAGCGGCAGCTAAAACCGGATATATATCGCAAACATCGGATATAGTTGGCCGATCCTAATGAGAATATCATAATAAAACCAATTAATTACAATAAAATATATAAAAAAAAGTCCCAAGCTTCTATCTTCAAAAATACGAAAGTTCATATATCTACCAAAAACCATTTCCGATCGTTCAGTTATATGGCAGCTATAGGATCCGAAAAACACCGAAGTTATACCATTTTCGATCACTCAGTTATAAGATATAGTCGACCGATCGTAATGAAATTTGATAGGTAGGATAAACTGACCCAAAATATATATAAAAATATATAATATCTTTACAAAGGTCCAGCTTTCTATCTTCAAAAACACGGATATGGCTAGGATACAGTCGGCCGATCCTTATGAAATTTGGCATGTCGCAATATTTTCGTGTAAAATTTTAACTCTCTAACTCTAAAAACACCAAAGGTATACCATTTCCGATCAATCAGTTATATGGCAGCTATAGGATATAGTCGGCCGATCCCGTTTCGACTTATATAATGCGAGCAAAAGATAGAAGGATGTGTGCAAAGTTTCAAGACGATAGCTTAAAAACTGAGAGACTAGTTTGTGTAGAAACCGACAGACAGACGGACAGACAGACAGACAGACGTGATGATGAGGAGGTGATCCTGATCAAGAATATATATAATTTATAGGGTCGGAGATGTCTCCTTCACTGCGTTGCACACTTTCGACCAAAATTATAATACCCTCTGCAAACGTATAAAAACTCTATGAAAAATCTCTTTCGATTTACTAGTATTATTTAGGGCCACAAAAAGTGGTCGTTAGCGTCAAAGTGGATCCCCTTCCCAAAGCATCCGCACCTGCATACATGTACATATGTGTCGATTTGATACAACGTCCTGCTGGGAATTCACATTCAAACAATTTAATACCCAATTGCCAATTCGAATCCGTTTCAGAATCGTAAACAAAAACAAAAGCCTTCTGGGGAGGGGCGGTGTGTTTGAGAATCGTTTGTCATGGAATGTCAGAAACTCAGTGGAGCGGTGGCTTTTTGGGCAAGAGCTGACTAAGCATCATAATTCTCGCAACCGCTCAACCAAAGCCGTTAAATCCAAATCAAGTTCTTATCGATTTTTAATTAATTATCCACAGTGACCAGAGCTTCCCCCTGAGCACCACCCACTTGTAAATCACAAATCTCAGACAAAGGGCGCCGCCGGTGTGACAATTTTTGAAGCAACCATACAAAATTTATGCGCTTTCATTGTGACACGCGTGCAATTTTTAAAGAAAGATTTTAAATTTGTTGCTTCGGTTGTTTTAGGTTGTTGTCAAAATGTTTTACGTCATGTTCGCCATTAGGCAAATGTTGCCTCTGGTCCCAATTCCGAAGCTCCCGACTGAACCGACTCTGAACTTTCAATTAGTCAACCAGAATTGTAGGAAATTTTCCGTCTCCAGCTGATGCGGACTGGCAGATGATTTATTCGTTTCATTTCTCCAGAAACAAATAAACCAAACAAATTACACTTTACGGAAACACAAGCCCAGGCATAATATATTCCGAAAAAAATTGTACTATCAAGTCTTTATTTCCACCAGCCAGAAGCATTTCGGTCCTTATATTTAATAAAATCCGTCTTAAAGCCACTTGGAGAGCGACTGAAGCTGTGACTGAAGTTGATTCAATTTAAATATTCAAATGATTTACTTACGAGCAGACTGAAAAGTCAAATCCATAATTCATCGCTCAGACAGAAAGTTTGGGGCCAGGACACCGACACCTACATGGACTAGGATGTGGTCTCGGCACCACCCACGATACAGTACTACAAGTGCCGTCTAAGTTATTTCGAGTTAATGTTTCAATGACCGGAAAATTACATATTACTATTTGTCCAACAGAAGTATCCTCCGGACTACGGACAGGGATCATATCGTAGTATATTATTCATGTGTGCATGTGCTACAGCTCTTGGTAATTAAAGTTTGGCAGAAAGAATACTTAGCCGGCGTCGACATTATTTAATTTAAATGAAGCATACGAGCTTCCTACGTCCTGCCAATAAATTTAATATTCAAATTCATTTCCTCGCACTTGATGATTTTCAGGCTAAAGTTATGAGAAGTTGGTGAAGGAAACGCCATTACTTTAGAGCAGTGGTCGGCACCCCAATACATTGATATGATGTTACCGCATTAGTGTTAGTAACGAATAGCAGAAAGTAGGCTGTGAGCATGACGTTTCACACATGTATACATGTATACTGTGTGTATACTGTGTGTGTGTGGCAGAGTTCGGGCAGAGAAATTTCCTATGCCCCCGAGATAGGGCCGTGCCGACCTCTGCTTTAGAGTCATGGACACTGTATTCGAGAATTTTAATATCTACCATCTTGTGATATCGTCACCCCACTAATTAGCTTTCATGTGTCAATGGGGCATTTGAGAATGAGGACAGGGTGGTGGAGTGGGTGGGCGTGCTTCGAATACAATTAACATTATCCGTAACTAAATACGAGAAATTAAAAGCCATAAAATCACAAAGTCACGTGCGAAATGTTACAGCAATAACATGAAAAATAGGGGGGAGGGCGCGAGCGCCGGCAGGAAGTGCAATTAAAATAATCCACACACACGTAGCCCGGGGAAAAGTTTCTTTATTGCCAAAAAGTTGCCGCAAAGAGAAGACGCGACCTCTGACAGGATGGCTAAAATGACACAGGGAGCACAAGGACATCAGTCAAACATCATTAAAATGCCATAAAGAAATTCAGTGCAACTCTGTGAAATCGCTTTAAGGTTAAAAAGGCAACGCGGTGGACCGGCCGAGGGTGGCTCGGTGACTTAATTGAAAATTGAGAATACAGGCGTAAAATGCATTTATCATTCTAAGCCAAGGCTGTGTGTTCTATTCCCAAAAAGTGAGCTGCAAAAATCTATTACAGGCGCCCCTAAAAGTACACCAAGAACACTCCATGGACGTGGAAGGGTGGCGTTTCAAACCAAAACCAAGAGCCGTGACAAATTTCCTGCTGGCATGGCCATAAAAGTTCATGCCCTGAGCTCGGGCCATTTCCAAAAATATTTTCTTGACATGAAGCAAAAAAATGATTTTATTGAGAATAAAATATGTTTGGGCAAACCACAACGAATTTGAAATGCGCTTCGGTATTCGAACAAATAATTTGGTCGGCAAGTAAGCCAAACAATGCAGTGTTTATTAACTTCGCACGAAAAAAAAAATTATGGAAACATATGTCTCCAGTTTCATGAATTATTACGGTTTTTGGAACCTATATTTTCTGAAAATGAATCTTTTAAAATAGGTCAGACCATTCAAGAATTTAAATATAGTCCATCTCTAGTTATTTATTTTAAGATGAGTTTTGAATTTAAATTAAACTTCCATTATGTCTATTTCATTAATTCATGTATGATGTATGCTTAAGCCTTTTTAAGTTGTTCTCTTATCTCAAAACCCTTCTCCTTTTTTGACGATTTTTCTATGGACAACGGTTAGCTTAAGGGCGTGGCCGGCTACTTCCCCATTTGAATTATGACACTTTGCATGCTGGTTGACACTTAAAGCTGTGCAAATTGTTGGAGCGTCAAATTGCCGATGTCATTTAGCCAGCACCTCTCATTTTCGGAAAATCAGAAAACCATTTTCCGAAACGCTGCACTTCAGCCAAAAGTAGCGAGAGTTCGGTAACAATTTCGCAGTGT